AAAAAAAAAAAAAAAAAACCAACCATCCACTTAAAGAAAAGAGTCACGTAGGTTCAAAATATAATTACCATTAGCATTCTACATAGACTTTAATTTGAACTATTCTTAGTTAAAATTTGGTAGTGAGAACTATTTCAAAATCAAATTTTGAAAGCAAATGCATTTTAAATGTTCTCAAATATATATATTTTGTTTTATAATTTCAGATTAATGTATGGCTAAGGTAACTTATACAAATCAACTAGAATTCACACATAAAATTACGTTTATAATGTAGAGTCATCAAAGAAGCTTTATTATTACATAAAACCATAGATACATAAAGAAATGGAAACAATATCACTGCTTACCATTAAAAACATACATTTATGAGAAAGTTGAGATAAAATCAACATTCAATGAATAAAAGGTAAATATTTTCTTTCAGTACACACAAAGTTACCTTCAGAAAACTGATATTTGAAAGCATATACTTATGTATATAAACATACCTTTGGGAGTATACATGCCTTGTTGCATAGAACCTCCAGGTTCAAAAACAGGAGCCTTAAAATCAGCTACAGCTGATAAAACTGATTCAAAGCTGTAACTACCTGGAATAATGCCACTTTTGGGATTAGGATTTTCTGGAATATGATGTATGGGTCAAGAAAAAAAACATTAATGGCAAAAGCCAGTTTCATAGGCTTTAGAAGGTACTCTATGATTTACCTATAAAAACCATAGAAATAGTAATTGGCTGTAATATCTAAAGTTGGCCACAAGAGGGCTATATCATACAACAGTTTGATACTTTTATTTGTGATTCTTTAAAATTTTATAATCTAGGAACCTACTAATCATATACTATAGTAGCTCCTAGGTATATTTCTCCTAAAACAAATTCATCAAATTTCAGAAAATTAGAGGGAAAAGTTTTTTAATTGATCTTCATTTTCATCATTTTGCAAATGTTATACCTTTTATTTAAAAAAAAAGAATATGCTAAAAATCTGCCATTATTTTTATAAGCAAATATTATTTTTTTTAAAACACAATATTAAATCCCCAAAGATGCCAGATGCAGGGGTTCACACCTATAATACCAACACTTTGGGAGGCCAAAGTGGGAGGATCACTTGAGGCCAGGAGTTTAAAACCAGCCTGGGTAACATAGTGAGACCCCCCATCTCTATAAAAAATAATGTTTTAATTATCTGAGAGTAGTGGCACATGCCTGTGTTCCCAGCTACTTAGTAGGCTAAGGCAGGTGGATCACTTGAGACCAAGATCTTATGGCTGCAGTAATGATCACATCAGTGCACTCCTGCCTGGGTGACAGAGCAAGACCCCATCTCTTAAAAAAAAAAGAAAAGAAAAAAGATTAGTATATCCCCAAAGAAAAAGATGCTAAACAAGTTTTAGCAACGAAGGAAAGCAGCAAACCACAAAGATTCTCTCTCTCCCATTTGTTTTCACATTTAGGTGTATAATTCTTTTTAAAATTCAAAGGGACAGAGAATGTGTTTGCTATATAACATCACTGATACATAGTCTATAATGACTAAAGGACATCACCAACAATATCAAATTGATGCTGCTTATAAAAATCTTCACGGCTGTCAAACAGGCATTCTAATAGAAGTTATTTCACAAAACCCAGAATTTCAGATATTTCTTCCAAACACAGTCATAAGATACACATACTGAATTTAGTCATATATTTTCATCACAATATAAGATAGTAAGAGTTAAAGGTAATGGAACACGCCTGTAGTTCTAACTACTCAGGAGGCTAAAAGGGGAAGATCATGTGAGCCTAGACGTTTGAGGCTGGCTTGGGTGACACAGTGAGCCCTTGTCTATTAAAAAAAACAAATGAAACATAAAAAATAAAAACCATGATAATCATTGCCCAAAATTTCATTAATTAAAAATAAAGTTCCCACTGCACACTGTCCCATACAAAGAACTACAGTCCCCAGTTTGTAGACAGTAATTTAAAATTCAGAAAATTCTTTAAAATTGAATTCTAACAATAATTCCACAGAGTGTTTACCTGGTAATAACAATTGTGAACCATGAATTCCAGCTTGGCTACACAGATATGGTAAACCTAGCTGCCTTTTATAAAAAGTACAGCTTCCTTTCACTAATGCTGTCCTAGAAGGTTAGAACTTAGGGTGCCCAAAGCCTTTGGTCCTGAGGTCTACCTTAAAGTCTAAGGAGAATACCCAAGAAGTAATAATAGGAGGTAAAAAAAGCCTATTATCAGCTCTGAACATATACTCTGGCAAACAATTGGGAGTTTTTTTTTTTATGATTTTTAAACTTCAAAAACATTTTTAATAAAAAAATTGATATACCCTTAATTCATAAAAAATCATTACTTTAGATCCTCCAACTAACAGAAAATTAAACTTAAAAAAAGGATATGAGGTCCAGCAATGAGCTATGTGTCCTGTCATTCATACACAGCTGAGCGACCATCTCTGCCCTGAGAATCTCATCATCAGACATTCCTAAAATTATTAAAAACACAATTAATAAATCTAAGTGTATACATAAATTATAAAGAAACAACTTGCTACACATTTTATTAAGCTGTTTTACCAAATATGACATGCAGCAAATTAAAAAGTAAAGGAGCAATGCCTCAAATATAACTGCAGGTTATTAAATATGAAATGTCCGATTTCAAATCAGAAGTTTAGTTTATTGTATCTCAAACAAGAAGCAGTATAATTAATCAAAGTATGTGCCTAAACTATCGAGACATCTGATAGTTTTGCCATCTGAACAGTAGCTTGTTTATGCCAGCAGCAAAGAAGCCTAGGGAGCGAGTGTTGATGAAATTGCAAAAGGCATATTCCATAGCTGGTTAAGAACTAAATAATTTTCCTTGCAAGAAGTGGTCCAAAGCCTAAAAGAAGTAGTAACCAGTTGGTGCAAGGCCTGGTGAATATAGTGCATAACAGAGTTTCTAAGTCCAGCTTCTGTAGTTTGAGTATCATTGTTTGTGCAACATGTGATACTGATACAATCCTTTTCGAGAGGATTGGCCTGTCTCGACTGAACCACTGTCAACTGCTTAATCACATGCATCCTCATCATTTCATCCAACTGATTACAGCAGATATTTGCTATAATCAACTGACCAGGTCTCATGAAGCTGTAGTGGATAACACGAGCACTCAACCATCAAGCAAATACCATTTAGCTTTTTCTGATGAATATTCAGTTTTGAACTATGTTTTGGCACTTCATCTTTATCCAACCACTGTGGCAAACACTTGTGATTGTCAAAAGGAATCCCTGTTTCTTTCTTTTTTTCTTTTTCTTTCTGAAAAAAACTCTCATTTTGTTAACCCAGGATAGAATGCTGTGGGTTCAAGTGATCCTCCCAAGTAGCTGGGACTACAGGCGCCTGCCACACCACCTGTCTAGTTTTTAGAGATGGGGGTCTTGCTCACGCTTAGCTAGTCTCAAACTCCTGAGCTCATGCAATTCACCAGCCTTGGCCTTCCAGAGTGCAAGGATTACAGGCCAGGCCATTACAGGCCATTTTTCATCACGCATGGTGTAGAAATGGCTCACCATAAATGGCTCACCTTTATGTCATAACAACAAATAAACGCAAGCTTCAAGACAATGTCTCTTCAAACACTGATTTAATTCATGTGTAACCCATCTATTTGTTTCAAACAGTCCCAATATTGTTGGAATAGTTAACATTAAGCCTTGCTGCTAATTCATGCATAAGTTGAGATGGATTTGCTTCCACAACAGCTTACAGCTCATCATAATCCACACTAGTCTCACATCGACCACACAGCTCATTTTCAAGATTAAAATCACCAGAAAGAAACTTCTCAAACCACAGATGTACTGTGTGTTCATTAGTCAAATCCTTCCCAAATAGTTTCTTGACATTTCAAGCTGTCTACACTGCATTGGTTCCACAACAGAATGGCTTTTTTTTTTTTTGAACCAGAATCTCAGTATGTCGCCCTCAGTAGAGTGCTGTAGCGTCACAGCTCACAGCAACCTCAAACTCTTGGGCTTAAGTGATTTTCTTGCCTCAGCCTCCCAAGTAGCCGGGACTACAGGTGCCCGCCCACAACGCCTGGCTGTTCTTTGTTGCAGTTGTCATTGTTTAGCTGGCCTGCCAGGTTCAAACCTGCCAGCCTCAGTGTATGTGGCTGACACGATAAACACTGCGCTACAGCATGGAGCTGACAGAACAGATATTTGAAAGTAATGTAGGCTCGGCACCTATAGCTCAACTTGCTAAGGCGCCAGCCACGTACATCTAAGGTGGCGGGTTCGAATCCCCAGCCCGGACCCGCCAAACAACAATGACGGCTGCAACCAAAAAAAAATAGCCGGGCGGCGTTGTGGCGGGCGCCTGTGGTCCCAGCTACTTGGGAGGCGGAGGCAGGAGACTCGCTTGAGCCCAGGAGTTGGAGGTTGCTGTGAGCTGTGATGCCATGGCACTCTACCCAGGGGGACAGCTTGAGGCTCTGTCTCAAAAAAAAAAAAAAAAAAAAAAGAAAGTAATGTAAAATGTTTTGACTTATCCGTGGTTTCACAAAAATTGCTCTAAAAAAATTTTGTAAGATAATCACAAGCCAAAACATGCATTTGAAAGAATACTTCACAACAAAAGTAGTATAAAGAGAAATGTCAGAGATATCAACTGTCAAACTAAATATTTACAGAAATCGGACATTACATACTTAGTAACATATACCTTGCTGTTTGCCATTCCTTTAAGCAAAGTACTTGTTAAAGGGTATTATAAATATCAATTGTATAATGTATCAAGAGTTTAAAACAATGTTTAAATATATACACATCCTTTCCTTTTTTCAATAAGTTAATACCACCAGGGAGAGAGAAGGAAAGGGAGAAGTACAGTTAATACCTAAGTATTAGTATCAGTGGGTTTTACCTAAATGTAAACGAAGACTCAAAAGAATCACAAGAAAAGTGAGAGCGCCTTCTAACATAGATCTCTCATGCTCTGCGTCAAGTACTGTATTTTGATGTTGTGACGCCATTGTCAACAAATCCACTACCTTAAATCTATAAGAAGAAATATTTGAGACAGATTTTTAGAGGTTAAAACAAAATTAACTTAAATCTCAAACTTTCTAATACCTATCTTAACAAAACTATGCTTACCTTTCAAAAACAGATGAAATAAAATAATCTGGGTCAAGTCTAGAAGCACAAACCTATGAAAGAAAAGAAAATGCTTCAATATTCAGTTTTACATAATCTTCTATTAATAGTGTTCTTTATTTTCTATATTGTATGATGATTTGGCATCTTGGGGAGGGTCTTAAGGTCCCCATGAGAGATTGCCCTTCTCAGAGCCAACTGATCCCTAAACATAGCAAACAACTTACTTGAGAACAGGCCACTCATGCAAGCCAACCACCATGTTTATCTAACTCTCACACATAAACCCAGTATTTCTCCTGCCCTAAAATAACCCAAGGCCAACTATCATAAAGCGAGGTATAACCCCTAAGCCACAAAGCCTACCAGAATTATCCAGCTAGCCAATCCTACCTTGCCCTGCCTTTCCTGCAGAAATCCAAAAAAGGCCCACATAGGCTCACCCCTCATTCCTTTCTCCCTCCTGACTAAAACCCTAGGGCAGTGGTTCTCAACTTGTGGGTCATGACCCACAGGAACTGTATTAAAAGGCCGCAGCATTAGGAAGGCTGAGAACCACTGCCCTAGGGCTTCCCTTGTGGCACTATGTGGTGTACATATCCCTCTTCTCTTGGGGATTAAATAATGAATTCTTCTTTCAATGGCACTGGCCTTTCCATGTCATCAATCAGTTACTTCTGCAAATTAAATCCCCTGGGTACAAATAGCAGACACTACTAAAACACAATATTTGCATTATTATGTTGGGTTACCTGTAACAGGTAAATGTCAGGATCAATCATGGAATTACAGAAATGAGACTGCACATAGGTCATGGCTTGTCCTTTGATTTGCAGACCATTTCTTACCCACATATTGCTGTGGATCTCAGCAAGACTTGCCTAATAAAATGAAAAATAAGTAAAGTGGACAAATAATAAATCATTTAAATTCAATCTTTATAAAACTGTGTTATACTAACAACTATTTCAAAATATTTTATGGCTTAATCATAGCATGAGCCTAACATTCTGTCCAATGTTAAAGATATTCAGTCCAAAAATATATTTTTACATTTTTCAAAATAATGATTATGCTATTTTTATATAGCCACTTTTTTTAGAATTTATACATGAGTTAGTTTTCCATGATAGACTGGATACACTGTAATAATTTTTACTGAAACCTCTGAATACATTTGTAATAATTTTTACTGAAACCTTTCATGAGAAATCAATGCTTATGTTTCACTCTATTTCTCCCTCCAAAAAAAAACAAGAAACACACAAACAATAAAGAAACCCTAACATACATAATGTTCAGAGAAATATACTGGAATAAGCACAAAATAAAGATAATCCTTCAAAGTCAATGAATACAATCCACATCTTTAATTCACCCTAACTCAATCTTCAATCTAAGCTCATTTTCTAAATAATTGGAAGTAAAAAAGGGTGGGTTTAGAGTAAGTTTTCTTACTACATTAGTATTTGATTTTTCATGTACACTATCAACTAAAACTAAGTAATTATAACTTTATCTCTCACTTGTTCCTAACCCCTAGAGTTAAAGACCAATAGTAATTAACAAATCTAAAATTGCTAGTAAAAACAAATTGAAGTTCATATCCCTCTAATGTACATAAAAGGTTGGTCTACAAAATTAGTGTCAGAACTAAAAGAAATCACAGTGCTCATACAAACTAATTCTTCTCTCTTCTTTATCCTCTCACTTTATAGATGGGAAAACAGAATCAAGAAGGTGAATCACCCAAAGCCATGTGGAAAATAAAACAGTGGTAGCACCAAGTCTAAAGTCTGTTGGGTCTCCTGACTCTCAAAACAGTGTTACAGCATATTAAACACCCCCCTCCAATAAAGAAATATAGTCAAGGCTCGGCGCCTATAGCTCAACCAGCTGAGGCGCCAGCCACGTACACCTAAGGTGGCGGGTTCGAATCCCCAGCCCGG